CACTTAGACATTTAGGAAGAGAGACCTGCCTGGGTTGGGAACCACTGTGCCCATCAAGGAAGTCAGAGTTGGAAAGATGAAGGTACTATGTCACACCAAAGATAGGTGTTTTACCATTGGGAAACTAAGGCCTGTACCATTGTCACCTTGTGATTTCAGTTCCAAAAAGCATCCTTGTGGGTGGGCTGTGTACTTTTTCAGTTGCCTTTCTCCCAGTATGTTCAAGCTAATGCTGTAGGAAGAAGCCTGAGATAGATGCTTGACTTCTGCCTTAGTTTGAGGTTTTATTGTTGTGAAAAGACATCACGAGCACTGCAGCTCCCATAAAGGAAAACATTTACTTGGAGCTAATCTATTGTTCCAGAGGTTTAGTCCATTATCATGGCGTGAAGCATGGTGGCATGCAGGCAGACATGGTGCTGGAGAAGGAACTGCGAGTTCTACATCTTGATCTGCAGGCAGCAGCAGGAGACTGTGAGCCATGTTGGGCGTAGCTTGAGCATATAAGACCTCGAAGCCTGCTTCCATGGAGTCACACACTTCCTCTAACAAGACCATGCCTCCTGATAGTGCCATTCCTTATGGGCCAAGCATTCACACCTGAGTTTATGGGGGTCATTCCTATTCAAACCACTACAACTATCAACCACCTCATAGGTGGGACCTAGGATATTTTGACTAGAAAAACACTCTATAAACTGAAATATGCTGTGTTTGTTCTTACTAGGTATACCCCACATTACAGTTAGTAGCGTCAATGGAGAAATATGCTATATAGTATGTTGCTCTATGGTATCTTGAGTCAGTGAGTTTTCTGGAACACTTTAGGCATGAACTGGGCATATCCTAATACCCTTAATTCCAGGCGAGCTGTCTTCATTCATGAGAATGTACTTGGCCTATAGATAAAACTAGTGAGACTTTGGCCTACTGCTGAGCCCAATTGCAGACCAGCCATGATCGATCAATGGGTTTTATTAAGTGATATTTATATTTGAGTCTGAAAATTTATATGAAAGGTTTTATTTATTTATTATAAGCCTTTTGATTTTTGATAAGTTGGCTAGCATTTTCCAAGGCAAGCACTTTGAAGGAATCAGACATTTTTGCTTTGGTAAATAATAATACAAGGCAAGGGGAGAAAGAAATGTATTTTGTCATTCGTGGATGGTCGCTCAGAGTTGTCCTTGAGCAATGCATAAATCTGGGGCAGACAACACAAATATGTGTTTCTCCCAAGATAGCAAAGGAGGGACCAGTTTGTCACACTTCTACAGAGGTGACAAGAGGCATCTGGCTGGATGGTAATTCTAGTTGTCAAGTCTTGGGAAGACCTCTTCACCTGGAGAAGCCTCGGGGCTAGGAAGAAGTCAGATAAAGTGCTCTGTCCTCACAGTCTGGTGGCTTTAGGCTGGCTGGGGACACTTCCGTGTTCTGAGCAGCTCTTTTCCTTTGGAAATGTTTGCAAGTGTTGGAGAGGAGATGAGCTGTTAGCAGAGCTTGAAGCACCCCAGATGGAAAATCCACAGTGCCTGAGGTGGAGAAGCACACTCGTGGAAGCATGGGAAGGCCACTGTCACTCACACTGTTGGGGGGTCAAGGGGCTGGTCAGCTTTAGGTCATTGGAAAGGTGGCGCTGCATGTCTGTCTCTGGGTTTCTTGGCTTCCTTGAGCTCCCTCATGGTGGACAGCCGGAGACTGCAGCTCCTCCTGATGCACACACTAGATCTGTGTTCTCTCTCCAATGTCTGGTCTATCCATTTATTTGGCACTGGCGAAGAAGCGAGGTTTGTGTCTTATCTTGGGATCTTTTAAGTTAAAGGACTTACTTTTCAGGCAGTTTTAGCTTTACAAAACAATTGAACGGGCCGCAGAGTTCCCCTAGGCATGGTTCATCTCATCATCTCTTTCTCTCTGGGGTTGACATCATGTGTGATTGAAGCACATTTGCTGGGATCAGATATTTGCGGCCTCATGAATTTCTTTGTTACCACAAGAACTCACTTTGTGTGAGGGTGCGTTCTGTGGGTGTTACAGCATCCTAAGACTCTTCCCACCCTAATTGCCCCTTAGGGTCCATGTGCTCATGTTTCTCTCCCTCTCCCTGCCTCCTCCTCCCTCCTTTCTCTTAGGCCCTTGCAACCATTGATCATTTTACCAGCTCCACTGTTTTGTCTTTTCTAGAATATTATGTGATTGGACTATTTAAGTTTATGGCTTTGCTTTTTTTGTACTTAGTAACATACATGTGTCTCAGTTACTTTTCTATTGCTGTGATAAAACACCATGAGCAAGACAACTAATAGAACCAAGAGTTTATTTGGGGCTTACAGTTCTGCATGGTTTGGTCCATGATAATGGAGTGAAGGCAGCAGGCTACGCAGCAGCCAAAAGCTCACATCTTTGCCCACGAAGAGGAAGCAGAGAGGGCTAACTTGAAATGACTTTGAAACATCAAAGCCCAGCCCCAGTGACATAGTTACTTTAGCAAGGCCACACCTTCCTAATCCTCCCCACACAGCCACCGTCTAGAGACCGAGTATTCAAACACATAAGGATTGTGGCCTATTCTCATTCAAACCACCACATTCTACTACCTGGTAGCTATAGGCTCATGGCTGTATCATAATGCAAAATGTATTTGGTTGAATTCCAAAACTCCTTATAGTTGATTGATCTTGACACCTTACTGAGTCCAAAGTCTCTTCTGAGTCCCAAGACACTGTCTTATTAATTGTAACTCCTTGTTCAAAAAGAAAAGCAGATTATATATACTTCATGTACAATGACATAGAATACATATTACTGTCTCAAAAGTTAGGAATAAGTCTAAATTGTTCTCCGTACTACTGTTGTGAGTTCCCACTAGGATGGCCTGTATGCTCTCCTTGCGTTGTTCAGTCACCTTTCTGCCCAGAATCCTACAGTCTTCCACATTCTTCCCCTTTAGAAGGAAAGTTTGATTGTTGGGCTGCAAACAGATTTGAATAGAGTAGCGAGGAAACCCTGGACAAAAGCAAAACTAAAACTCCAGCAGGCATACTCTAAGTCAAAGGACTTAGATGGCTCTGTCCTTCCAGCTTTGCTGCCACTAAGGCTTCTCTCTCTCTCTCTTTCTCTTTCTTGTGTGCAATACTCCTTGACAGGAATCCCATGGCTCTGTCATGCCCAACATATTTGGTCCTCCAGCACCATTCACTTCTACAGCTTCAGTGGCCTTTCAGGGCCCCTTGCCTTCTCAGGACCTTCGTACAGGGACTGCCCATCCACACACTTTCTGGCCTCAGCTCTCCTTCACCACAGAGGAAGATTTCCCAACCCCTTGCTCATGTATTCTTCCTGATCCAAAGCCAGTGTGTGGCACCTCCAAGTTGGCCTGCCTGCTTGGTACCCCTCTCAAATAGCATTCTCAGTAGCTTTATCTTCTGTTTGGGGAACCAAGCTTTCTTCAGACTACCCTTTTCACAAGTTGAAAGTTTAGCTGGTGGGGTCTTGCTGTTGGGGTCCCCCTGAGATTTACCCTGGTGCTGATCAGGGATCTTTGCAAACTCCTCATCTCTTTGAGCACACGCCTTGGCTCCAGCATGACATTTCCTTGTGCTCTTTTTCTCCTACACCTGGACAGGTTTTATTTCCTTGTGCTTCATTTTCTCTTTTCCATTGTAGACCTGAGTAAGAGTGAGTTCTGAAAACCACACGGCAGAGTCAGTAGCAAGCTGTCTTGAAACTTCTTCCACCAAGGAAATTAGCTCATTGCTTTAAAATTTAGCCTCAGAAGTTCTTAAGGACAAGAAAAACAAAAATCAAACAAAACCAAACTACAACAAAATCCAGAAACATGTTTTTTTTTTTCTTCCTGCCTTTCCTCTCTCCCTTCCTTCTTCCTTTCTCTTTTTTTCTTTTCCAAAATATAACGGGACATTCTCTAATGAAGTTGCTACTATTGTTTGTCCTCAGCACTTCTGCTTCACAGGCTCCTCCTAAAGCCCTTTAAGCTCTGCTTATGGTGAGCACTTTTCTATAAAACCCCAAGGTCTTCTACATGCTTCCCCCAAACCATGTGGTCAGATGTGTCGTAGCAACACCCCAGGATCCTGATATCAACCTCTGTCTTAATTATTTTTCTATTGCTTTGATAAAACTCTGTGGCTGCAGCAACTTACCAAAGGGAGTTTGGTGGTTTGGATTCTGTTGGTTTGATTTTTGTTCGCTGATGGTTAGAGTCCATGAGGGTAGGTGGAGGTCCTGAGCTGCAAGATGGTTAGAATCCATGAGGGCAGGTGGAGATCCTGAGCTGCCCGATGGTTAGAATCCATGAGGGCAGGTGGAGATCCTGAGCTGCCCGATGGTTAGAATCCATGAGGGCAGGTGGAGATCCTGAGCTGCCCGATGGTTAGAATCCATGAGGGTAGGTGGAGGTCCTGAGCTGCAGATAGCTAGAGTAGCAATTGAGAGCTCACATCTTGGGTCACAAACAGGAAGCAGAGTGTGCTCAAAAATGACATGAGTCCTTTCAAACATGGAAATCCAGCAAGGCCACATCTCCTAAGCCTTCTCCCAAGGTGCCACCAACTGGGGACTAAATATTCAAATGTCCGAGAAAGAATGGGGAAAGGTCACTCAAATTATTACCACAGTGGTTAAGGTTTCATTTGTCTTTTCACAGCGTGGTAGCTCATTTCCAATTTTTCTCAGATTAATACTTTATACATTCATCCATTGTGGCTGCTAATAATAACGTGTTTTTAAATCTGGACTATATGAGATTTACTGAAACTGAGAAAGAAAAAAATGAATGATTCAGGAGTGATCAATATTTACACTCTATTTCCTTTTTAATATTTATCTTTCCTTTTTTGATCTGAGGTAGATACAACCCTTTAAAACTTTTTTGACAATAACTTTTTTCACAGAGTATATTCTGATTTCCTTTTCTCATCTTTTCACAGACTCCCTTCCTCCCTACCCTTCTGAAAATGTTCATTTTTCTGATTATGAAAGAAATATAAGGCCGAACCACTTGAAGTTGCCAACATTTGGTCACTTTTCACTTTCAGAACATCAGTTTCACCCAGTTCAACACAGTTTAGGTAAAGTAACACAGCATTCATCTGAGATTGTTTTATGTCCCAGGGTCTGTCTAGACTTGATTGTCCCCATACCTGGTCCCATCCCAATTCTGTCTTTTATCCCAAAGGAGGTGAGGTCACGGTGCACCCAGGGTGTGGTCAGCATCGGAATTCCACCTGGACTCCAGGTGTGGTCACTGAACTCTTTGGGGACCTCTCTAGGGAAGCCCTACCAGCAGAGCTTTTCAATCTGCAGGACCCAGAGAAGACCTTGGAGTTATCGGACTCAGGTGCAAAGCCGAGGGACCCGCTGCGCAGTGGGATGAAAGGTCCTCTTCTCAGCATAAGGGCTACACCAGGCTCCAGGCTTTTAGTCTGGGTTCCAGAGGCCAGCAGTGAGAAGTTCAGACTGTGGTCAGTCTCCAAGGTACTTACTCTGCACATCTTGGTCTCATGTCTGTCTTCACTCCCTGCTGCCTCAGCCTGGGCATGCAGCCAGTACTGAGGTTCACGGGGCTGTGGTCGTGGGGCTCCCCAAATGGCTCACCTGTTGACTTCTACTTTTGTGGTTTGGGGCCTTGGCCAAATCTGTGCTTTACTCTACAAGGTCTGGGCACTTATCCTTCTCCAGCAATCTGGGGTGGCCCTTCTTGGATCCTCACAGGGAGAAGCTAACTCCTCTCAGGAAAGAGGAGCGCAGGGTGTCCTGGCACAGCTGTCCCAGCTACAGTGGATCACCTGCTGAGGCAGATGTGTGAAGACGTTGGTAAGCCATGATCTGGAGGAGGAACGAGAGCGCTTGACTGTACCTCCTTTCTACTAGGAAGAATCAGCTCCATAGTGCTTGGGGCCCTGCTCAAAGATGAGGAATTCCAATACATTGGCAGGGGAGGAGTAAACCAAGTGACAGACAGCTGCGCTGTGTGGCCATGCAGACGCTGTCAACTCTTCTAACTTCCAGGTGGCTTAAGCTCTCTGCCCTTATCCACTTGTGCTGGACACACCGCTCCTGTCAACTCTGGATGTCTCATTTTATTCTCCCTTCTCTCTAGCCACCTCGCCCACACCTCCCATTTTTCAAGTACAAATCAACAACCCAGAGTGTATACCCCAGCCGTCGTCTTTCAGATTCTTCACGCTGTGAACTAGGTTTAGGTATCCTAAACAGCCAAGAGACATGTTCCAGATGACCAGGGACTGCTCCTATGCCTTAGGGCCCACTGAAATTGCTGCAGCTTGACAAGTACCAACCCCTTTCATCCTGCCTCTCTCCTGTGGCAAATGGAAGAAATGTTCTTGCCACAGAATGTACCTCTGCTGCTGTGTGACTAGCCCAGGGCCCTCCCTGTGTATGAGTACGCTGCTTCTCACACACCATGGTTAGACATGGCCTGCTTCTTGGAAATTGGGAGCAATGAGCCCTATTTTCAGTGGCGATCATTTCTTGACATTGGACTTCTTACAGGGAAATTTTCTGCACATGCACCATGGAGCCAGGCCTGCCTGTATGATTCTCATGGATTGAATCCAACAAAACTCCAGTGGGGGGCAAGAGATTTGGTGGAGAAAGTTCATGAAGGTCACTAACTTGGAGCTGAGAAATTGGATGTGGCAGTAGTGAAACTGGAGTTTGTATGGTATATTCATCCCCCATATCTTTCATAAGGTGTCATGAATTGAGATCTGTTCTACACCGTTTTTATTAGTAATCACTTGATAAAGGTGTTTCACTTCTTGCCTGAAATGGGAGTCATTTTCTTCCTATAGTTTTATGTAAGTATATTGACATGCAATAGCCTACTTCTTAATGTCAATTTTGGTTTTCTGTACCTATGAAACCACGGCTTTGGGTAAGAAAGGAAGCTTGCCTTTCTATAACCAGATTCACTTGTCCCCTCTAGAGTCTCCAGTCCCCAGCTCTCCCTCTCTCCACTGCCTGAACTGTAAGTGACATGCCCTGTTACAGTAGATGACATGCAGTCCTTCAGAGGCATGACCAAAGGTGTGTGGTCTCTGTGTCTAGCTTCTTTGACTGCAGAGTCGTGTGTGTGTGTGTGTGTGTGTGTGTGTGTGTATTACTGTGTGTTGGTTAGCTTTCCATCATCATAATGAAATAAAGACCCAATCAATTTTTAAGAAGGAAAAGGTTTATTTTGGCCATCATTTTGTAGGCTCTCTTTCGTAAGTGAGCAGTATCATTGGCTTTGGACCTGTAAAAAGGCAGTATATCACCATGAGAAAATGCAGGGAACCCTCATGGTTAGGATGTAAAAATGAAGAGGCTATTAAATTTTTTTTAGGCAACACATCTAATAGCCTAAAGACTGATCCATGTTCCACCAAGTTCCATCATCTTCCAATGACACTGGCCTGGATAGCGTGCCTTTAACATGTGTTCCTTTGGGATATGTTATGGATCCAAACCATATTAATACTGTTGTGTGTATCAATACTTCATTCCTTATAGTGTCTCCTGGTTTTTTCCAAAGGTAATATTTTTCTAGGTTTTATAGTTAGTTCTATGAGTGTCTGCTACTGAATTAATTTTGCATTTTTGTCAAAAAATCAATTGATGTATGTGAATCCATTTCTGGCCACTCTGTTTCACTTATCTGTTTTTCTATATTGATATCATTCTTTAGTCTCTTGATTACTGTAGCATCAATAGTGAGTCTTGAAGTGGGTAGTACAAGTCCTTGTTCTTGCTTATGGCTGCTTGGGATTTTCTAAATACTTTCCACCATTCATTTTAAAATCAGCTTTCCAATTTTTATTTTTTTCAAAAGATGACAGATTTTGATCAGAATTACATAATCTATAAGTAATTTATAGGCACTTGATATCTGGATAATACTAAGCCTAATAATCTATGCGTATGGCATACCTTTCCGCTTACACCAATGTCCTCTAATTCCTTTTGTGCATATTTTTTGGGCTACGCCTTCATTTCTCATATTGTTAATGCTGTCTACCACAAATAACCTTGATTTAAGGACATTTCTGATTGTTGCCACAAAGTTGATTTTGCAGGCTTATTTTTGCACCCTGAGACATTACTAACTCACCAAGGTATAGCAGCTTTTCAAAAAATTTTATGGTAAGTTCTGCTCTTACTAGCCTGTTTGTGAGGTAAGTTTTCTTTCTTTACAATCATAAATTTGAAGATTACTAACTAATAATAACAAGCAAAACATATTCTTCGGCACTTCTACAACGGGAGAGTCATCCACCATCATCTGACAATAGCAGGCAGAGGAGTGGGGAGGTTTCCAGTAGGGGAAAGAACAAGAAATTTTGGTGTCTATTCAGGATTCTGTGCATATGCAGAGGTCTTGGGTGGCTTCACTGAAGGAGAAGAAATCCATGATGAGTTTTAGATGTAGTTTTTTTTTCCAGTTGACATTCAGTGGAAATGGAGGTAAGGTTAGACAAGCTATCAATAATTAATCATATCCTGGCTTTATGAATCTGATTGCTATACAACATTTTTAGCTTCTTTGGATACAGACAGCAGCTTGCCTTTCTGGGCTGGTTATTGTGAACCAGAGGTTGGTTTCTTGGGCCATGCGTTGCAGGTCTGACATCTGCTTTCATAGTAGTTGAACCATTTTTGCATTCTTTCTTTCAAATTGCAGTCTGAATGGTTCTCTTTTTCTCAATCACTAGTCTAGAATCACACACAAGGAGTTACGACATCCGAGGGAACAGTAACCCTTTAACCATAAAGTATAGCATGAACACAAGGCTTTCGTAGATTGAGGATGTTTACTTCTAGAGGATGTTTACTTCTATTCCTATTTCTTAAATTTGCTGTTATTATTGTAACCTGTGTATGTAGGATGCTTGTGTGTTTCTGAGGATTCTCCTGACTCTCCTGTCATCTTGCTATGGGAGTGCTGGGGTTGCAGACCACATACCAGTGTACCCATCTTTACATGCTTGGATTATGGGAACCTGGATGCAGATCTTCACGCCTTTGCAGCTATACTTACTCAATGAACCCTCTCCCAAACCCTTATTGCTACTTTGATCAAGGTGCTCCCCTCCCCGCAACCAGGAATTTATGCTGGATTTTCTTTTGAGACCATTGCAGTGGGATTTGGAATTCCAATGGCTTATTTTTAAGTGTTTATCCCACCCTTGTGTTCTTGAGATAAATCTCCTTGAGATAAATCTCCTTTGGCCATGATTTATTATCTTTTTGACACATTGTTAGAGTTTAAGAATTTTTCACAATCTGTACTCATGAAGAAAGTCATGTCTTTATTCTCTTTTGCTGTGATGTCTGTTTTGATACCAAAAACATGTTTACAGCACAGGGAGTTGACATGTATCCCCCTCTCAATTTTTTTTTCTGGAGAATTTGTGTGCAGTGATTCTCTTTCTTCCTTAATGTTTTATGGAATTTCCTGGTGAATCTAGACAACTGTGATGTTTCCTTTGTAGAAAATCTTTTAACCATAGATTAGATTTCTTTAATACACTGCCCTCTAGCATGTTTGCTCTTGCGTGAGCTTTAGTAGTTTATTTTTAAGCAATTTGTTCATTTTATCCTAGGTCATATAATTGGCAGGGCGTCTTCCATGACAGTGTAGCAAGTGTAGACTCTTGAGGCAATGTGTGCTCCTGAAACTGGAGTTGCTGTGGAGATGGATGCTGGAGTTGGCTGTGGAGATGGATGCTGCTGTTGCTGTGGAGATGGATGCTAGAGTTGCTGTAGAGATGGATGCTGGAGTTGCTGTAGAGATGCTGGTGTTGCCTTCCTCTCTCTCATCTGTTAGTCCCAAGGCTTATCAGTTTTACTGATCTGCTTTCATTGATTATTTGGACTCTTTTTCTCTTTTCTACTTTGTTTTTTTTTTCTCTGATATTTACTTTTGTGCCCCTTTTCCCTTTGAAGATGTTTAAAGTAGAAGCTAAGGCCATCATTTTGAGTCCGCTCTTTTTTCTAATTCTCAGCAGCCAGTATTATAATTTTGGATGCATTTTTCAAAACCCCCATGTCATGAATATGCTAAAATTGATTGAAATTTTCAAATTCTGCATATCATGATTGGGAAGTTAAGATGATTGCGATTTTAGAGATGGTTATGTTCCACCTTTATAGTTAAGGAACCAAATTAGCATCTTGAATTGAATTTATGTACATCCAGTGATGCGTCATTAAACTGTTCTTGTGAAATTAGTTTTATGATGCTATATATATTTACACTCAAAAACAATCTGTTATATTTTAACGTCTGTAACTGATTTTAGAAAAGCGTTCTACTAGTCCTACTATTGGATCCAGAATAGCCTTTGATGCAATGCAGCTCCACTCTCCTTCTGCCTGGGCAGTCTGTCTGTGTCTGAGGTCCAGATCCTCTCAGGGCCATGCTATTAGGCAGACTGAAGCCTAAAGAGGCCGAGGTCAGTGGCTGTGGGAAT